TGATTTTTTTAAAGGAAAATGGGTGAAACAAATGGTATACATATTGGAGAGAAAAATAACGGGAATGAAAATACGGATATGTCACTTTCATCTTCAATCAGTGAGACAAATGTTCCAACTACCCTTACTGCTACCAATGTTACTTTAATAAATCATAAAAATTCATCATCCAATCCACAGATTGCTATCGTTATCGATCGAAGTACATCATTATTTTCAATTAGTTAGTTAAAAATTTTGCTAATCTATTTTCATAGCATTAAATTTGATGGTAGATATTAAACTCAAGTTATTTTTTGTTTTTGTTTTTTTTTGCTAAAGTATTAGCTTATAGATTTAACTAACTGTTGATAGTGTTTTATTTCATATTTAAAGTTTCAATGTTCATTTTGTCTTCTAATTTACAAACCCGTATTAATTAACATATTGCAAATGAGGCCTCTAATATTTCATTATTCCTTACTATTTCCTTATTTCATTTTTTAAATATGAAAATTTTAGAAATTCTTTCTTTTTTTTTTCTTTTAGAATCTGGCAATAGTGTTACAGCGAAGATTGGTTCAGCTCCAAGTGTTTCTGTGGAAGATCATAATGGATTACTAATGAAACAAACAGAGCAACATAAATTACCGATGGTACGACGAAAATTGAGTAGTGGAAATAGTAAATTGGAGGAACGAAGTGAGAATGAGAATAATGAAAGGTATATGCGGGAATTTTTTTAGATACTTTTTTTGTAGTATGTTTAGCTTTACATTGTAAAAGTTATATAGCGTGTAGATTAGTGTAGATTATTATATCTTAATTTATTTGTAAATTGATCATTATAGTTTGTTTGAGGATTGCTAATAGCTTTAACAATTAATGAGTATAAATAAGTAATAATAATAAGTATAATAAGTATTAATAAAAAGAATGGATATAATAAGTGAATTTTATGAGTGATAAAGAAGAGAAATTAGCAGATGAATCAGTTTTTTTTATTATTATTACTAGTAAAGTATTTTAAAAATTAAACGAAATTAACAGAATCATTTTAAAGCATTTTACCACAAGGAATCACCTTATTGTGATGTTTTCGATAGTTGGAAGTTTTTTAATAGGTTAAATTAACTTACTGATTATTACAGCAGTCATAGCTGTTTCTCGGAAGAAGCGGTCGTAAATGTTTTGAGGGAAATGGAACGGGAATTATGGAAATGTCGAAGTAGATGTGAACAGTTGGAAAAAATTGTTCATTTGCAACAGGTTGAATTGTCTGCAATTTATTACATAGAATTTAAATGTATTTTCTGAATT